AAAACAGGGCAATCACCACCTTGTGTTATTTCTCATAACAAAATATTCAAAAATAGCCTTTGTAGACGACTCTCTTCTGTCATCATAACATTAATTTATGGCAAAGAAACAACAAAAAATATATATGTATACTTTCGTATGTATATGCCGTGTGTGTGTGTGTGTGTGTGTGTGTGTGTGTGTGTGTGTATATGTATATTAGCATCAATCATTTCAAGTCTTTGTGTGGCAAAACAAAAGAAGCGTCACAGAGCGCGCGACAAACAGCAGAAGGAGAAGAGCATCTATTTCCAGTTACGCCCCTGCCGAACTGCGGAAGAAGAAAAATCAAAGCACAAATGGAAAAAAAACCAAAACATTTTTCGTTTGCATGTACAAATTTGCTTCTTGTTTTCAATACAAATAGACAATTTTCAAGCACATCCTCTTTAAATAGTCTACAAAACACACTATGGACACAGAAAAGTATTCGCCAACTTGTTTGCGACGCTCGCGCTTTTAAATAGGAAGACAACCAAAAAAACAAAGAGATGAGAGATGAGAGGTACACTGTGAGCACATAATCCAAATTTATGCTGCATCTGCATATTCCTGCTGCATTATTAACACATTTACAAGGTCGGCCGAACCTGGAGTGTTTGCACTAACACTCAGCTTGTAATTCAATAGACAACTAGTCTAATAAACACTGTAAACAAAATGTGTAAGCACTGGTGTAAACACTGTCTTTATGCACACCAGCGTGATTTTGGTGTGTGTGTGTGTGTGTGCATATATATATATATATATATATATATATATGCATGCAAATCGTGTGGCCACACAGTGCTAATTTATCATTTTATTATAGCTGCTGCAATTAAATAACAACACAATTTTATTATTCTACGGTAAGCAGCAAGTCATTTGTTCTTCAGCTCATTAAAATCAAGTTATAATACAGTTTTTATAGAACATCCAGGAGGCAGCATGCCGCTAAAGTACCTCGCGACAGACTAAACAAGCAGTAAGAGAAGCGGCTGGCGGCGGGGAGTGCAACACGCAGCCACGGGGAACTGCCTGAGATCTGCAGTTTGTCTTTTTTTTCCCCTGTAAAGCTCAGCAAACTACAATAAGCGCTAAACATGAACAGACGTGCCTTCCGTTGTTCCGTGGGTTTGATTTCTCATTTGTCACCACCTAAGGAGGGAGCGTGGGAAAGAAAAAGGCAACGGGCTCCTGAGGGGCTTTTCTGACCTCCGATGCAGTCGAAGTTTAAGTACTGCAACCGTTCTGTGTATTTTTATTCTGGGTTTTTTTTGTGCATTTGCTTTGTTCATGTGGAATCTGGTGTCGCACGTGTAAATTAATATCATCAGTGCCAAAGCTTGTCTCTTTGTTTCACATTCATCTCCATTGGAGCGGACGACAATCTTGCAAACGTCAAAATAAAATGAGAAGAGCCACAAAAAAAAAAAAAA